GGCGGACATCAATATGGTACTCAAATATATTGAAGTGTTATTGTTAAGTGCCAATTTGATCTAGAATTAACATATAATATTATAGCATTTTACAACTTAATCAACTTAAATTGATGGAAAATACTTATACATGGTTAAATATTCAAATTATTGGCTAAGTGTAACCCTCAAGCGGTTTTGTACGCTTACATGAGACAAAAGAGCAAGAAAATTCATGTTCCTGAACCAGATTCGATCACACTCAGTGCTAGATCCATGCTCAGCGATTTCAGGAGCATCTGATACCTGCGCTCAGCGTCAGACTCAAGCTCAACGCAAGATAAGTTATGTTCAACGCACATCCTGCGTTGGGCGTCTAAATTCGAAGAATTCAACAATTAGCTATTCTCTTGAATATGGTCAGCGGAGCCTCCACACTCAACATAGTGGGTGATGCACACAGTGCAACCTGGTGCTTGCAAGAGTCGTGTCTGGACAGCAGGATCCCATGCTCAGCGCAGCAACGGTGCACTGATCGAGCACAAAAGTCAGCCTCATAATAGTATTTATAGGCCTTGGAACGATTTCATTTGTATACTTGCTTACTTCTTCGAATTGTACTTTTTATGTAGCTTTATTTTAGAGAGTTTAGCTCACTTAGTTCATTGAAAGTAAGTGTAAGCATCATAGGTGATAATCGTTACTCGATTGTGTGCAGTTCAATCGCCCTATGAGTGTATTATCCCTATCATTCTTACATTGTGTAGATATGAGTAGTTAAGCACCTTTTAGTTGGGGTTGAATGTAGCACAAACTCAATGTAACCATCTTTTGATTCAATAATATTCCATGAAGTTCATTTCCATTTTGTGTCTTATATTTACTTAATGTATGCTTTAGTATTGATGAACTTGTACATGAACTTAGAATAATTTTTGCATTATTCAAAACTTATATTTCTCAACGATTTTTGAATTTGTTAGACATAGACTTGCTTAAATTTTCATCATATGCATGTCACTTTTTGGTATCTAGACATAAAACTAATGTTGTGATTTCAAAACTCTCAAATTGAATAACATGTGTTACTAGACATAGAAACATGTTTGAAGGTTCATAAAACTGAATTTTGTGATTGTGGTTACTAGACATAGATCTACTTATGATAAAGTGCTATCATAGATCAAGACATTGGCGGCTAGTGCAATTGAGGTGTTGCATTTTACTCAACTTTCTTGTGTAGTTCACTAGACATAGGGACATGAGTTTGTAAGTCATTTTTTCTTATTCTTATGCATCAAAATCACTAGACATAGGTTTTCCTTGCATAAGTGACTAATTGACAAAGACATTAATAATTAGTCATATTGATGTGTTTATATGGACTAATTGTTCTAAAATCGTATGAAAATAACAAATCAAAATGAAAAATGTGAGTGAGTGTGAAGTTCAACACCGACTACATTTATCATTATATAAAGTACATTCGAAATGTTTGTGCCGCACAACAAATAATCCAAAATTAAAATATTGAGTTGAGAATCAGCAAATTAGTTGAAAGACTATTGTTTTGGCAATTCCTTGTGGAGACAATAAAAAATATTTTTTATACTTGTTTGTGACACCGAGGTTATATTCAATATGTCATATACATAAATCAATTACAGCGCACATTTCGGGCATATAACGGTGCTTCAGTACGCTGTCTGTTTGATCGCAGTAGTATATGATATATTTTACCAATGTTTTTGCATGCACTATTGTATATCATACATACAACAACATAACATTCATACTTCTACAGACGTTATTGTATACCGGTTAGCAGATCTTTACAATTTAATTTTTGAAATGGTATAAAGAGAAATAAAATATTTGAAAACTTCCTCATATTCTTTTTCTTTCAAAATTAACTCAGAAATAGACTCTAAAAAGTTTAAAAATTGATTACAAATGCAGTATTTTTATTCTTTAATTCCTTAACCAATACCATTATAAACGATATGTTAAAATAGTTGGTTATATTAGTTTTCTATTTTTATCCTTTCTTTTTTTTATGTATATAAATTATATTCATCTTTCTAATTCAATCGATGTGAAATATTATTCACTATTACAAAGTTTTGACTCTCATTCTTCATTCTTTCTTCACCACCTTCTTCAGAGGCAGCACCAAAATCTACATGCTCCCACTTCTTGTTGCTTAAATCACCATCATTGCGTTTTCTTTTGGTTGTTTTCTTTCTAATCATTCTCTTTTACAAATCTTCCTATTCTCTTATTTTATCTCACATACACGGCACTACCAAATAAATAAAAGAGTGATAATGTTATTATTGTCACATCAATCAGACAAGCTATTTGTAGCTTCAGTACATCCACATGCAGTTTCTCTCTTCTTAATTCTATGTGTGAAAAAGCTACAAATAAATAGTTACTACTCAAATAATAGAGGATGAAGAGACATAAGGAGCCTCATGAAGATTGATTTATTTATTTATTTATTTCCATATGGGTTGGAACTTGGAAGAGAATCAAACTAGTAATGCATGTTTAATTAAAAATTTCTTTGAATATTTTATTCTTATGATAAATAAATAAAAGATACATTAGTTCCTTCTTGATGGGAGAGTGAAAATCCTTTATTAACAAAAGAAATAAATAAAAGATATATATATATTCACCTTTAAAATTTAAATCCACTAAATAGTGTTAATAGGTTAATAACAAACCCTATTTGGAAAAATCTAGTGTCTTTACTTATTCTAAATAATCAGTTTAATCACAGATTTGTTTAGTGCCTTAGCACCTGAAAATTTAAGATATTTTATTTGTTAGTGACTTTTTTAATTACACAATAATGGCTATTATTTGCAATTAATGACAAAAGTTTGGCTTGTGTTGGTTAAAGATGGGGCAATGATCCATATAATTTATAGTTAGTAAAAAGAGTAATTAGATTCTCTAGCACAAGTGGGAAAGAAACTTTTTAGGAAAGATTGTTTAAATCCATAGAATCTAGTATTTTTGCAAATGTATCTTCCGAGTTTATGGAGTTAGATGCAAAAACCTAATGCTGGCAATATCCATCGTCTGAGTCCTATAGCAATGTCTGGATATCTTGTTAAGATTTCATCTCAAAACCAATTGGCTATAAGATGAGTAGTCCAACAAATATTTAAATTATTTCCGATATAATGATGTATGCGATGTGAGACTTACTTACCGATAGATTTAACATGTTATTTGGAATCTATAACTACCACATAATAGTAAGAGAATAATGTATCCCTGGTATAAGGAGATAATTTATCTTCTCCAACCACTAAAATTATGACATGTGTACCATTTAATCATTTTCTACAAAAATATTTCTAAAACAAAACAAAAAAATACACATGTCATTTTTTTACTGGCTGAATGATATAAGTTATCTTCTGGTATAAGAATATATTTTATTCTCTAACAGTAGTATTATTTTTTATTAATAGCAAATGTAGCATTATGAGTTTTTGGGTGTAAATAAGTATTATTGGTTCTAATGAACGTTTTTGGCATGAAGGGTTGGGTGGTGGAACAAGTTCCAAAGTTGAAGATGGTGCAAATAATGAGGTTTGGGAATGTGCAGTGAACTAATCCTGGTGGTGCATGGTGGTGACAAAAACTATATTTGAGTGGCGCAAAATAAAACATGTGGTTGGAGGTACACTTACAATTATGAATTTTGTTACAACCAAAACCTACTAATCCCAAATAATTCACACGCGCATGGAGAATTTAGAGATATCTAGAAGACACAAATTTTTGGATACAAGATATGATTTCATTACCCATCTTCTATGCTTTCATTGTTATGGACTATTGGGGACACATTATCTATCCGAAATTGTATTACTTTATGTACCATTTGATTTTCATTAATCAGAAGAAGATTATAACATAAAGTAAAGTGTATTAACTTTATATTTTGTGATCAACCAGAAACAAATGATATGAACTGGAATGATAGGGACATGCTCAAATGCTATATGCAGCTTCATTTTGAAATACTTCAGAACAGGTTTAAAGTGAGGGACATAGTAGGGGTGAGCGGGACTCGACCCTACCCGCTCACCGGTATGGCCCGATCACGATCGAACTTGAAAAGGGTCGGGTTTCATTGGGTCTAGGGTCGGGTTCAAAAATTAGATCCCGGTATTTAGGGTCGGGTAGGGACCAAACATGACCTGTCCCGACCTGTCCCATGATCACTCACACATGATGTTTATATGTGTCTCTGTTCAAATATATACAGAGTAATGATACTTTTTTGGTCAAAAATATTATTGGTTCTCTAATTTTGCATCATATATACATGTTTAATAATATATATACACATATATTATTTTATATGTTAAATTATATGTTCACAATAATAAATAATGTTTAGAAGACCTTATATAAAATGAGTATACATTATATTTAATCGGGTCTAGGAACGAGTACAGGTTTAAAGGTTGACCCTGTGAATATTTAGGGTCGAGTTAACTCTGGGTCTAGGGTCGGATCCAATTCATAAAAATGGTCCGAACAACATTTAGGGTCGGGTAAGGACAAGCCGTAACCCGTCCCAACCCGACCCATGCTCACCCCTAGGACATAGTATTGATTTAATAGAATAAAAGTTCTCCATCTATTTAATATTTTCAGAACCAGATTTTAACAGAACTCAACCCTATAATAATTTATTAAGCTCAAATTTTAAACAAAAGAGGTATGTTTCTAGCTTAAATCCAGTTAAATTAAAGTTCATAAAAAGTTTAATTTAATTTATTAATTTGATTAGTTCAATTCTTTAACTCATGATAATTAATTCTTTAATATATAAAATTAAATTATATATATACTAAATAAATAAAATAACTAATTCTTATCCATGCTTGGAATTTGCCATATCCCATATGTTTTAAATTCAGTAAAGAACTTAAGTGTATTCTAATTCTCAAGTTACGTTACTGTCTTGGAAATGAAAAAAACAGAAATTAAAATGTACTATTTCTTTTATTTATACACATACTACATAGATAAGACTATACACTATGTTTTTTGCTATACATGAACATGAAAATACACTATTTCTTTAGTTATACATGAACATGACAATACACTTTATGGTAAATAATATAAATGCTTGATTTGAACAATACAAGTATAGAACTAATGGGAAATAAAACAACATATGAAAAAGGGTATATTGGTAATATTGCAGGGTCACTATAGGAGACATGTACACCTAGCCATCTAGGAACTTGTTGCGAAGACCAAACGGTCGCTGAGTGTGGGCTCGAGCTTGTCTTTTAAGTCATACCTCAATTAGTACTTGGAACTTGAAAGAACAATAGATAATATTAATTAATAAGCAACAATATTATCTTCATCAAACCCTTATGTGACTTATTTATGAAGAAAAGTGCTTCAATAAACTACAAACCTTAACGTAACTCTAATTGAACTACATGAACCCTACAACCATGAAGTACGTTATAAGCAAATAGAAGTACGAAGTACATTGAAATCAATTAGAAGTACTTTATAAACTAAGTTTGTGGGAGATTGGTTGTGATTTAAATTGTTGGATCACATCAATTAATAATATTAGGTTGTCATGACTGTCCTAACCACATCACACCGTAATTATAATATAATTCCAAATCACATTAATGCAGTTACATCAAACCATAATCGCATCGGGCTGTATTGGAACGCAAGAAGACACAATGGATTTAAAAATTATTTTAATCAGAAAATAATTCTGTAACCGCGACAATCCAAATCGCAATAATCACAATATCAATAACCAAATGATCACAATTTAAAACACTAATTTTATCATGATTATAGAAAAATGGCAAGAAAATATTGTCAATAAGGTCATAATTGGGATCATAATATCATTAGACTCTAAAAAAAATTACAATTTTGGATGCAAAATGCAATTTAAAACACCAAACAAAATAGTTTGATCTTAAATGTGTGCAAAGCACCAAAGTAGTAAAAGTAAATAGACTCGAGTAGATTTTAAGTACATGTATCATGAATTATAGGAAAAAATGTATAGAACATACTTTTAGTTAGCCATGTCTTTTCAATATCAACTTGAACATAAAAATTTAGTTCACTAATATTACCTCATTTTTGAATATTTGAAGTGCTTACCATACACAAAATACAAATATAGAAATGGAGATTATAAGAAGCAAAAGTACATATAAAAACGAAAGAGAAGAAAAGGGAGCTCCCTTCAGTCCAAGTACAGAAAGCTTAAGATTCAACCTGTCTCCTGCATCATTCACTCATTTACTGAGTAATTTTATGATCATCACTATACTCAGCATTTGGTTGAATGAGTCAGCAGCTAGTTAAACCTTATTGCTACCCATTAGTGGACTGAAGAAAGCTCTCTTAATTACCATATATTATTCATCTAACTAGGGCTATGAATATATACTCATATCTCAAATATTTGAGTAGTGTTCATCCTTAAACACAAGAAGAGACACTACACTTGTATAGTAAGGATGAAGTGCATGGTATTCACTCTATGTAGAGAATTGAGAGATGGGAATAAGAGGAAGAAACTTATATAGAAGAGATGAAGGGTGAGAGGCTTTTTATAAGCTACTTAGGGTAGAATGCTAGCTAGAAGCACTTAGTATTAGTAATGCAAAACAAAAACAGTAACAGTAATTAATGAGATTTTAGACTTAGGGTTTTTTTGGTAAACAACAAGACTTAAGTTTGATCTGTGTCTCATATATTAGTTGGAACTTCAATCTCATTTTAAAAAAATTATAAAAAAATGTAATAACACTATTAATATAAAGATTTATATACGATGAATACATGTATTCATCATTTATTTATATTAATTTTGATGAATAGTTAATAATGATTTAAAATGAATGTTGTATAATTGTATGACAGTGTATAGAACTCATATTTTTTATCTATAAAAATAATATAATAATTTAACTCATATTCCACATTTTAAAATATTTTGTGTTTTTTTAAATTTTATAAGAACCAAATTTATATAAGTAAAAAAATTGAGGAATTAAAATAATTCTTTAATAAGTAAATGTTTTTCTCAGATTTGGTAATCATTAATTAATAAATTTATCCATTTAATTTATATGTTAGATTTTAGAAATCAAATTAACTAACAATAACAATTGTAATACTTTTTTTTGGTAAATGGGAAATAACATATAATTATAAAAATATTTCCTGGGCCACACAATGCTTGCATCCACAATTTTAAAGTAAAGCACATTTTTGTACATGAATTTGGTTTGTCATTTTTTCCTATTTTATTGGAAAGAAAGTTATTCACATTCCTGTTACTAAAAGCCAATAACAATCTAAGGAATAAGTGCATCCTTAATACTTAAAACTTTGCTTCACTTTTAAGTTATTGTCCTCAACTTAAAAAGGAATGTCAAATGTGAATCAAGTTAATTATATTCAGGAATATCAATAACACATTAAGAAAAGATGACAATATGATATAAAAAAGTACTTCTTATATTGTGCATATGTGAGATTAGATAATTAAATAAAAAAATATAATTATATGAAACAACATACTCTGAGTGTATATTTAATATAGCTGGAAAACATCTAAGATTATAATAGACAACATAACTATTTGATTATAGGTTGAGTTTTCTTATATTTGGGTATGTGCTAAAAACAATTTTAAGATAACCTCTTTGTTATTTGGATTGTATAAAAAAGCACTTTTACCTGGTAAATTACAAAAAATGAGTGTTAGTTTCGGGATATGTCTATAAGTAGTGATCACTTTTAATTTAACATGAACTTAATTTAATAATTTGATGGAATCATTTTCATAGATTTAAATTTGACTTGATCTTGAAATGATATTGGGTTAATTCATTATATTAATAATAGATAAGTGTGAATATTATTTATAAAAAAATAATTAGGAAAATGAAACTAGTGTCAACTTTATGTTCTAAAATAAATAACGTAAAGATAAGCACATTACAAAATACTAGTATAATTGAATAAGTTTTAGGTGTGAAAACCCAAAAGTATTTATACATCCTTTCAATGTATTTTTAAGTTTTTGTGTGTGGGTATTTTTGACATTCCAAAAGTTGTGTAAGAAAACTCATTTTATAATTGTATCATTATATAATTGTAAACATTATTAATATCATTTGCTTATGTATTTATAATTTTGTGATAAATGTTTAGGAATTTTACTAGATTAAATATTTTTATTTTTTATTTAATCTAAAATGTGACATTTTTAAGCCACTTATATTCGTATAAGATGGTAGTTTTATTATTTTTTAACAAAGGAATGAAGTGGTGTTTGCCAAAAAATTTCTTGTATGATGTGAAGAAAAAATGGGAGAAGAAGAATGAAGGAATAAAATCACTTCTAACAATACAAAATTTCACTCAATTTCTAATTTTTTTCTTTTCTTTACTCTCTTTCTCAAATATTATTACTCTATTGTTATTTTCTTCTCTCCCATTAAGTGGATCATTAGACAAATTTGAACAGGACTAAAGTTATGGATATATGATGTTTTCATTTTATGGCATGTGCTACAATATTGAAAGCGATCAAAACCTTATAAATTGTTAAATTTTGATTTGGAATTTATTTGATTATAATGGACAAGATATTTAGCCTTCATTTGATAGAGTAGAAAAAGAATGGGAGGAGAGAAGTTGGAGAGAAATAGAGTTTTTCTCCCCTTTGGTTTAAGGGGGATTTTGAAGGGAGAGAAGGAAAAATGGGTGAGACCCATCAAATTTGTTTCTACTCCGAAGTAAGGAGAAAATGAGAGGAAAATAGGGACCAAAATCTGTTGTTTCAAACTGTGTATCAAATCATATCTCATAGCAATGATATTGAAGCAAAAAATAATAATAAATATTATAATTTTTTTAATTGACATGAATGTTTTCGTTAGTCCAGGACATGATTTGAAACATAATTTTGGACGATAAATCATTGTTCATGAAAGAGTGGGAAAGAAACACTCATTTATTTCTCTTCATTTTCCATATAACCGAACAAAACTAAAATTCATTGTGTTTCTCATCTCTTTCTCTCTTTTCACTCTCTCGTATATTTCTCTCTTCTGTACACTGTTGTTTAGCCGTATGCAGTTCTTATTAGCATTTCATTTCAATGTCCAATCCAACATTTTTTTTTCTTCTTTACTCATTTCTCTCATATGTCCATCTATCCATCATTCACATCTTTTCTGTCTCAAACATCTACCCACTCTTCCACATCTATTCCCACTTTTTTCTTTCCTTTTTAACTCTTTTATTCATTCGATCCATGTAAAGATTTATATATAATTGATATATTAGCTATTATTTATTTGTATTTTATTTTTTTGAAAATTCAATTATAATTAAATATAAATGATGAATGATATAGTGACAATATATAAATTCAATAATTTTTTTTTTCATATTCCTGTACCATGATAAAATAAATATGTATCTACCAAATTTCTCTCTATTTACATTTCCCATTATTGGATGTGAAACCTCTACACGAGTACTTGAATTCATGAGTGCCTACTACTGTGAGAATCTTTGATTAAGATATGGGACTTCATATAATGTTATATTTTAAATAGTTCCATTACATCCACCCCAATCACAACACAACTATCATTTTTATTTAGGTAAAATATTTTATAATTTATGTTTTTTTCTACCGACACATACCCTATCACCTATGGGAGCAACATATTATTATATATACTAGCAAGTTATCCGTGCATTTACACGGGATGAATTTTCTTGCCGTATGATTAAGAATATACATATTATATATACATTCATATGGTTAAGATACATATATTATTCTTGCATTCGCATGATTAAAATACACATGTTACCCGTACATTCATATTGTTAAGAACATACATGTAACCGATGCATTCACATGGTTAAAAATACATATATTATCCATACATTCGCATTAATAAGAACACATGTTACCCATGCATTGCATAGTTAAAACACAATGTTACTCGTGCACTCGCAGAGTTAAAACGAACATATTACATGTACATTCACATCATTAAGAACACTTAGAGCTAATAGTAGACATGTTCGAAATATTAAAAAATCAATATTCATCTCTTATAAATGTTCATTTATATGGATTTCTTTTCTGAAATATATAAAGAGTTTAATATCTATATACCGTGAATGTAAAGATTTATACACAATATGTATATCATCCATTACTCATTTGTACTACTTCTTTTTGAATTGAATATGAATGATGCAATAACAGTATATCAAACTCATACAGTATTGGTGAACACATCATTTTCTCATATAAAAATCTAAATTATTGCTCGAAGTCATGAATGTGTGTAAGAATAATCTCATATAAAATATATATTCTAGTGTGTTATTGGTTAGTACACACTACATATGAACAATACTTGAATTGAGCATTTCATTTTTCTTGCATAATCAATTTTATTTCTATCATTGTTTGTGCATTTAGTTTTTCTTGCCTAATCAATTATCTTTTCATCCTTGTTTGTGAAGCTCGATTTTTTTGCTGCTCATTTGTATCCAAGCTTCTTCTCATACACACATTTTAAATAGTTTGTCATTGCCTATAAAAAATAACATTGTTTACTTATTTATGTCATTTTTAATGTTTTAGCTAATAAAATTAATGATATTGATCATGAAGATTGCTTTCATAAATGAGTTTTTTATCTTATATGTGAGATTGCATACTAAGAGGTAGAGAGCTTTTGGATGGAAACCTAGCTTATGTGGCAAATGTGTAAAAAGTGAGGATGTAGTGTGAGAAGATACATAGTAGTGACATAGAACACTTTAGGAGATGAAAAAATGATAAGAAGATGACATGTGAGTAAAATGAGTTTCTTTTCATATATAGTATATAGATCTGGTCACATTAGTTATTAGAAATGTTGTTACCAATCTAAAATAATAAATATGGATTTTATAACTAGTTATAGATGATATGATTAAATGTTAGTTATTGATTAGATAATAGTTATATGCGTGTATCTTTTAATCTTGACCATTCAAATCAGATTTAATGATCTATATTATTTGTTCTCATTTTTCATAATAACCAATTGTTCTCAGATGAGTTGTTATATATACATATGAGCCCCTTCCCTCATACAATTTAGAGTAAGTTTCACTTCCTCATATTTTTCGAATTTACTAGTTTAATCATCAAAAATTGGAAAAACCTAAAATGATATTTAAATTAGTTATTTTTAACATATTTTACAATATTTGACCGAGACTAATTCAACCTTAAAAGAACTAATTTTACTCATATTTATGGAAAACATTTTAAGTTTTTCAATTAAATTTGTAAAATGGAAAAGTATAATAAATTAAAA